GCAAATCAGACGTATTAATTCATACAACTGATTTGAATGCTAGTGTAATCTGGTCCAAACCCATTCGATTGTCATTCTATAACTGCATTTCTGATTTAGCTTACAATAAAACTGAATTTACATGCATTGTATCTGATTATTCTACAGTCTTGGTCAGCATGATATTGTACCTTGACACTTGTATATTTCCAATACAATACAGCACATTGTATATTGCATATTTGTACACATTTATGTCAATAAACTACCCATTCAGATCTGGATCAATATAAAACTTGTGACAGTCATGATCCAACTCGGTACAAAACAGGTCAACTCCAACACATTCCACCATGGTTATGGTCACATTCCACCATGCTGATGTATGTCAATCGGTATCACATTGCAACCAGTTATCATCCAATGACTGCAATGCAATACCGTGCATGTATTGTGACTGATACGCTGTGCACCATCAGCCAGTGTGCAACTGTCACTTGATATATCGAGTCTGATATGCAACAACATGCAGTGTTTACCATGATCAGGTTTTTGATCAATCTTGGACTCACGGTACATGATTTGTCATGTTGGATCGTGTGGATGTGTCATGGACTGCAATTTAGTTGCAAACACACATATGTTTGACATTGACTGATGCATACTGTGCAATGACTGATCAGTGCGGGTGTGATTGCACACTTGGTGGTATTGTGCATTATGGTTGTTTGACAATGGATGAATGCTGGATTAGTCAGTTATATGCAATCCATTTGAATCGACATATTTAGACCATCACTCGATGTAGCTGACAACAATGGGTTGTCAGCCAATGTTCGCACAGTACGAATATGGTTTGTTTGCATCAAATCATCACACAATCTGTATCTCAGCACTCGTTTATTCAAAATAAAATGCATTCAACCACATGTTCAAACATGTTTGGCTACAGACGGTTTGTGTGATAAACTGCACATCATCGACTGAGCTACACTGCATGATCTACTATGCCATTGATACACACGTTCAATTCAGCAATGCAGCTGTATTACAATGCTGACAACTATCTGAACCAATTCAGTATAATATGTTACAACTAAATAGATTCCATTGACACATCAACAGTCATGCATACCGATTGTTGAACATGCTCGTGTTGGTTGGTGTGCATTGATACAAATTGTCAAAGCCAACCAACAAATCACTATATTTGTACGGATTGTGTACCATGGCATATGTTTGAACAGATACTGCACGAATCATTATCATTTGGATTGAATAATCAACAAATACCATTGTGACTACACATGTATGCATATCTGAATGGGTTACAGTCGAGTGTGTTGCATTTCATGACACTCGATTGAAATGTCATGATTGGATATTTTCCAAATAGTAAAATGGTATCTCGTAAAATTGTTGAAATGCACTGATTATGGGATTGGATAATCAATTGGATACCACTGCTCACTTTGTTGGTGGCGCACAGCGTTGATCGTTGTATAGTTGTCAATAATGTCCAATTGTTCCTGCATTATACGGCAGAATCTTGCATTGTTCAAATTTTAGCACAGTATACGACTTTACCAGATTTCAATCCCAACATGACTGTTAGTTTGGTAACTGCTGACTTGACTTTGGTAACCATATGTTGATATATCAGCAATCTGTTGTGTTGTGCTGATGTAGATTGATTACTATAACCTATTGCTGCACGATCTTGTAAAGCATGTATTTTCTGCATATGGCTGACCCAACTATGTTGCTGATTGTGAACCACAGTGTTACATTGTATATCCATGTTGTTGGAAACCGAGTTTTTCAAGTCATTGTGTTGTGCTGATCATTCCTGTCAATGTAGTTTGTGCTGCTATAAACTCGACCTGCATTGCCGATCAAGACACATGTCTGCTTGACAGACTTGCATGAAATACATCCGTGACCTAAACACCACATACATTCAGTCGTGGATTTTCAGATCCAGCATCTCCGGTTCAGTTGGCATTGCAGTGGATGGACAGTATAGTGGTACATTGACCAAGTATGAGTGATATATTCATCGTGTATTTGCTATCAACATTGACATCACAGCGTTCCAATGTTTGTCAGTCGGGTTGTGTATCAACATCGACACTTGTTTGACAGCTGTCCAACAGCTGTTTGTAAGTCTGGGTATGTTGCAATCATTGCATACACTAGTAATTGGACTGCTTCACGATCAGGCTGAGTCGTGGTAAACTCACCTTTTCCAGCTACCTTCGACTGTAGTCATGGCTCGATTACAATGTGCAGCAGTCTGCAGCAACACATTCCAAACATTCCAAACATTGATAATACGTCATTAAAGTGGTGTCCGTGTGATTGAGATGGTCTGATCGACACAATCTCGGTCAACTTTGATGTCGAAACATGTATGTATTGGTTCAAAATGTTTGAAAATACCTTGAACAGTCGCGACTTGATCAAATCTAGCAATGCGTAGTCATCACTTGGTATCAATGTCATTGACATATATAGCGACTGCAACAAATAAAGTGCCCGTTTGAAGTGTATCAATGCATATGTCAAACACATACTTGTTGTGACGGCCAACTGTATGACCCGAGTCACTCTGTCGCTTGTATTCACCTGGCAGATCCAGATAGTAAGACTCGTCAATGTTTGCATTGATGAATGTGTTGTTCGTACGGTCAACTATCCAGTTGTGAATGTTACAGTTGCTGATGGCCGCTAATGTTGATAATATGCTTAATCAAGTGAGCCCGAGTATCGATGCGTAGGTTTCGTGCAAGTTATTCCTTGAATTTGTTGGAACTGTATTGCCACGAGTCTTGCTCTGGACTTGCCGATTGATCCGTCGATTGGTCCGTCAATCTTGTGGTCAATGTCTTGACCCATTTTGTATTGGTGGTATGTGTTACACTGTCCATGTGTTGTGAGTTGACGAGTTCATTTATGCATCTGCTGGTTTCCAAATATCTGATTTTGAATATTGCATGGTTTTTTGCCAGAAATGCGGTACTACTATATCAATGTATTGTGCCAAGAACTTTACAATCGAATGACTTGGTCAGGGTCATACATGACTGAATCCAGTCGATTTGGTCTTGGATTACTGATGTTTGTGCAGTTGGATCCACGATTTGTCTGCAGTTGATTGTTTGATATTGGATTGTGTCGGATTGACTAGAGTATCAGTAGCCTTGCTCGAGTGTTTATAGAGTCTCATAAACCAGTCAGTTTTGATTGATTGGTTACTTGTGGATCGACTTGGCTCGATTGACTGCGTTCTATCGAGGTTCCACAGTTCTTGTTCGGTCATCCATCTGGACACGTCGAGGTATACCCGTTTCCAGTGTTTTCAATGACAGTGATCGAGTCTTTTCCAGTTGGGACACTCGATTCTATGTTCATTTCTCAACTGATTTTGTTGGTTGAGTTGTTTCGAGTCTTGTGGCATGCTCTGTGTGTCGACATGTGTTCCACTGCTGTGAATTCAGTCATTTTCAGTATTGTCCATTATATGAGCATTGTTGTATATACCCATGACTGCTTTCTGAAATACTGTTGGTGTGGGTAACAAAGCAATGTAGCTTAACAGCGTAAATCTGTATTCATCACGATATACAACAAACCTTGCCGTTTCAATGTTGTAGAATGTGTATGCCTTTGATTTCGGTTAGTACCCAACCCCGACGCATGGTATCGTCCTAGAATCAATTTCTCGAGTGACGATACTGGAAAAAGTACATGTGCCTGACATCCATCTGGACATAGGTGAGCCATAACTGACTCGGATACATACCATAGCTCGTAAGGCGTCCTGTTGTTTATAGCCGAGTGTGCGACCTATTTTGCAGGTATACCACCGTCATCACTGTTACTGCCATAACTTTATGATCTTGGCTTCAACTAGTATGGACCTTATCGCATCCATGATTGGGGTCAGTTTTGCACTCAGTAACACCATTTTACCAGTATTTGTAGGGTGTTGGCAGCCTCTTGATCCCTGTTCCCGCCAAGTACTGGTCGAATAGCAGAAACCTGAGCTTTGCTCTATTGTCGGTGCACATCATCCGGACTGGTAATTCAGTTTGATTGTCAACCAGAACGACATGTTCCTTGAACTCGTCCAACACTTGATGTTTGGAGTGTAGCATACACAGATGTGCATATTTTCATAAATCATATACAATGATATAACAGCACTTTGATTGACCTGTCGATTAACGGACAAGAAACCTGACAAGTCCATATGCGGGAGCACGTTGGTTTGTATTTACCAATGATTCGACTTTTCAGTGAATGGGAGTTTCGTCGACTTTCTTTTGGTGCATGACACGCTGCGTTTTTCATGCTCGGTATTTGTTGCAACGTCAAGTCATGACTCTTTTAAAGCGCTCTGATGCTTTTTGATAATATGGCCAATCTCTTGTACTGTGTGTCTATATCCACTGACACTCGACATTCCAAACTTGATGCATGGTGATTGATGTTTATTGAAAGTTGTTTGTCTGGACAACACCCTGAAATCAGCCATGTCGAGCCATTCGCTTGAAATGCAGTCATCAGCGGTGCATTTTTTGTATTGGTATATATTTTCCTTTTTTTGAAGACCAAAATATTACAGCCTTGTCAAGCATCGTGTTTTTGGAAACGAGATTGCTGAGCATGTAGGTATGAATATGACATTGGTAATGCAACTATTTGCTCCATACATTTGATGTTGCAAGTCAGATCGACTGTGCAAACGCCCTGAATTGTAGTCGTATGTGCTTGATGACTACTCTTGAATTGTGGTATAGTTTAGTTTGTAAGCCATTGTTCACAGCAAACCATACAACCTGTGGCTCAAGAGTCTAGTGTAAATTCACCGCCATTTTGAGAGTTTTTTGTGAATTCCAATTGCACAGTACCACAGTGATCGACCATGTTTGTGTCGATGCTCTTGTTGGATAGTAATAGTTTGAGTTGAATTGTACTCTCGAGTCTTTGACTGTTGATTCCAATATGCTTTCACAGAATATTACCACTAAAGCTTAAATGGATAAATACCATTGTGGTCGTAACCAAGCTGTGTTGGTCAAGCGAAATGGAGATATCAGCAACGAATACTCCACCCTGATATCTTGGCATTCGGACACCCTGAAACCCTGGCCACTAAAGTCGAAAGCACCCTTTTAGCCCTGAGTGTTTTTGTTTGCATAGTCTATGCTGACAATCAGGCCGCTCTGCAATTTGGTGTTTGAATGCACTGCTAAATAGTACCTAAATACATGTGTGCTTTATTTGACTTTGAAATGGGTGGCCAAATATAGTTTATTGGGCTTTATACTAGTTTAATCCAGTCTCCCTTGGCTGTGAGCATCCCTTATCTACATGCAAAGTTATGTGATCACATCAAGTACGACTTTCAAGATTGTTTCGGGAAAATCTGCAATATAAAAAGCCAGGTTTTACCCGAATCTTGGATCCATCAAACACCATCGTCTCAGTCTATTATACTCCAATCTACTCTACTCCACTACATTTCAACCCAATCCAATATATCAACTGACCATGCAATTCACTGTCATCGCACTCATCGCTGCTCTTGTCGTATCTGTCACTGCTGCTCCTAGCCCGTATTTTGCTCCACGTTTTTGCAGTGGTAAAAATGAATGTAACCTAGGAGAAAAATGCCAAATCACCAATAGTCAATCGTTTGGAGTCTGCATACCTGAATAAATGCTTTGGCTATATTTGCGTGTCAGCATCCGTTCTAGAGTCTGTTCAGGTCGCACCAACTAGCTTAAACTTGAATTTTGGAATAAATAGACCCACTTTACAATGATATTTGGTTGATATTGTATAACATGACTTTGAATGTATTTAATCACGAACGGTTGTTTTGAGTCGAATGGCTTTGTATAGTAACGATCCAAACTGTTGAACCTGATTAATCAGCATATAAAGCGTGAATATGATAACTTGTGCAGGTTTAGAAACACATACTGTGATATTTACCAGTATTGACGTCCCAGATTGCAATCAATAACTGACAGTTTTGTACCAGGCTATCACTCATGAATACATGGTGATTGGACACGATTATATTATTTTGGTACTCATTTTTTGAGTGAATTTTAAAATAAACTCGAGTATTGAATACGATATGATTTCATGTAAGCAGGCCATATTCATACAAACATATTCTGGTGATTTTACAAGTTTATTGGTCAACTGTTGTATGGTGGTCTCGATGATGGTGCCAGAACTGTGTTATCAATGGTACGCTACCAGCACAAACTCGATTGATTGACCAATCGAACAGCTAATATTCTGCAATCAATCACTCCAACTCAAGTATCAGCACCACATGACTGACAACCTATTATTGTCAGCTATATCGAGTGTTTGTCCAAATAGGTCGATTCAAATGGATTGCATATAACCGACTAATCCAGCATCCATCCATTGTCAAACAACCATAATGCACAATACCACCAAGTGTGCAATCACACCCGCACTGATCAGTCATTGCACAGTATGCATCAGTCAATGTCCAACATATGTGTGTCTGCAACTAAATTGCAGTCCATGACACATCCACACGATCCAACATGTCAAATCATGTATCATGAGTCCGAGATTGATCAAAAACCTGATCATGGTAAACACAGCATGTTGTTGCATATCAGACTCGATATATCGAGTGACAGTTGCACATTTGCTGATGGTGCACAACGTATCAGTCACAATACATGCACGATATTGCATTGCAGTCATTGGATGATAACTGGTTGCAATGTGATACCGATCGACATACATCAACATGGTGTGATGTGACCATAATCATGGTGGAATGTGTTGGAGTTGACATTGTGAGTTGACAATCGATACACCATGCACATGACTGGAACATATATATTCGAGTGTGGTTTGGTTGGTGTCAGGTTGATCATGCAATCACATCGGTGCAACGAGTGAGTGAGCTGATGGTGATCTGAACCCATTTCAACAACAAGGAGTTGACAGTCATGGAGTTGCATGCATTCAATATGTGTTGCACACCGTTATTGACTGTTGACTGTGTAGGCAAGTCAAGTTACCACCAACCAACAACCAGATACAGTGCATACATGACCATTACTAGACTGACTGTCAAGAATATTCGTGTCTGAAAGTTAATTATGAGTTGGTGGTTTGCAAGAATCGGACACGACCAACATGCTATTGGATACAGCAACCTGATTATAGTCCAGTCGCATGGTGTGATACAGTGGTTTGTGAAATACAACATCCAGGTATTTGTAGTGTTGAACACGACGAATCTGTTGTTCGTGTAGCATCATATCAATTGGTAATTTGGAATGAAAGTATTGACCAACACTTTGCAAGTATTAATGACTGAATCAAAAGGCATAGTGGTTCCAAAGAGTCGCTTGCAGCATGTCAAGCAATATCATATTGGCACAATACACACATGCATGCCAACATCATCAATGTGTACAATTATGCAATATATAATCAACTGTATTGTATTGGGAATACAAGTGTCAATGTACAATATGATACCATGTCAACCAAAACCGTGTACAATAATCAGATACAATGCATGTACATTTAATATTAATTATATTGTATTGTATTCAAGCAAAAATACAGTGAACATGGTTGAAACCAGTCCAGATTAGCAATCAAATCAATCGGATGAATCATCATTTTTGGGTCGATTCCTGCGTGATCCGAGCTGATTTTTAAATTTGGAATAAGCTTGCCGTAAACGAAAAGATCCAGAAGATTTGGAAGCTTTTTTTGTGCTGAAAAAAGTTGCCTGTGTGTTGGATGATGGTTGAGTGGGTTGGACTGCAGACGTTTCGCTTGATGATGGGGACGGACTTTCATGATGTTGTGATTGATTCTGGGTCTCGCTAGTAGAGGCTTGCTTGGATTCTGACTGCTGGTTTAGTTGAAGAGTGAGAGACTCGTATATGTTTTCAAGAAAACTGAGATTTGATCCCAGGAATTTCGTGTAAGAATAAAGTGATGTTGTACTCGGACCATTCTGGAACAGACGCTTTGCGAGCTTTTTTCTGTCGAAATACGATTGAAAATTAATGTCGAAAAAATCGTTGCCGAGTTTCTGACGCTTTTCTTCAAGCATTTTGAGTTTTTCTCTCTCTTCCCTAAGCTTCAATCTAAAATCTTCTTTCTTTTTTTGACACACTGGATCATTCTTGGTTTTCCAGGATTTATCTGCCAGCCCTGAGTATTCTTTGAGCAGCTGATCTATCAATTTTTCTTGATCAAGCCTTTCAGATTCGGTCAAGCCATACGCTTTCACAGTCTCTTCATATTTTCGATCTGCCTGCAGATATTTTTCAATCAATCTCGCATCACTCTCTGAAAGTTGACTAATATCAACTAAATTTGTAGCTTCTTGATAAGAAATTATCCGATACTCAAATTCAGTACTTTTAGTTGCAGTGGAAATGACGGTTGAAGTGCTAGACTCAGCACTTGTAGTCGAACTGGGATTGACTGGACTGGCTGTAGTGACCGAGCAAGCAAACAGGATCAATGACAATACTGTGACTGCGAGTTTCATTGTGTTGGTTTGGCTGAGCAAGTTGTATATGATTGTTATTTGATGGGTCAGTTTTGGATCGTATTTATATGTTATTGAATGGATAATATTAAAAGCATGTCGGATGACTGCTTTAGGGATTGGCTTTATTGTCAGGGTTGATGGTGATTTTTCAGCAGTCTCCAACTTTAAAGGGTTACTCCTTTATATAACCGCAATTTTGGTTGGACCACTGCTTGGCTATACATTCGAGTGTCATATGGTTGATTGTGTATTTCACCCTTATTCACTCCGAAAAGGGCTAGAGCCACAATATAGGAAACGAGTACAAACCAAGACCATCTAACAATTGAGTTGATATTCAGTTGTTGGATGATCATCAATATGTGTTGTGGTTGGTATGATTCAAACATGTCGTGGTTTAGTGATGTTTTACATTCAACTCGACACGATCAGTCATCACTGCATATTGTCCAGTAATTCAATCAATCAACTGAATCAATACAATGCAGTTCATGTTGCAACCACAATGTCACATTGATGATCAATGACTTGCAACTGTTGTGTTGGCATATTGTATGTTGTGTGTTACTATATCAACATTGATTGTCACTATATAGTTGTATCAACCACACATCATGATCATATGTGATGGTTGACTCGTATTCTGGTTTGATGCACTCATTCCATTGCATTCCATCACTCGAACACAAACATCGTATGACTTGTTGATGGCTAATACCCATATTGATCGAATACACACTACATGACACATGTCAGGTTAGCGTATACATTCCACTATATATCACATCATGTTGCTGATACCACGCATTGTGATTCAACAGTCAATCTGTATTCGAGTTCAACCACAATTGATCGTGTTAATCATAATATACACGACCAATTGTAGTCGAGTTGATCCGACTGAATAGAGTCCGAGTCATCATGTTCATATCAAACCATTGCAAACCATGACAAGTCTATTGCACAACTCCACTCGTGTTGATTACAACATGCTATTCATAAATGCATTATATTGTCCTGTAATGACTGTACATGGTTTTACATGATTGTTTGGAACCAGTAGCTACGTCAATTGATATCCACAATATGATCCAGTAGTCGTCCAGATTGTGTGTTGTATTTGGTGTGTTGGGTGATGATATCAACCTGTAGTCAAGGTTTGACTATCTGGACATGTCGGTGACTTTTTACCAACTGTGTGCAACTCGATGTCCAATATCGAGTCATGTCATTGGTCAATTGATTGGTTCAATTCATCAGTGGGTTTGCTGGATTCATGTGGTGTGCAGCACTTTCAAGAGTATGTTGAATCTGTTGCAGTATTAGAACTTTGTAAACGGATCAACATACTAACCTGACCATGATTGTGGTGGTTATTGCAGTCGAGTCGTAAAGCTTATTCTGGCAATCATTGATGGTTTGGACAGTCATTTGGACAATCGTTTGGATGTCAGGTTATGGTATCCTGATTGACAACTCGACTCGGATACAACTTATTTGGACAATTACTGATCGATGGATTGGACAATGGACTAGCAATTAATCAACACATTGACAGATTTGTCATCACAAATGGAAACAACGACAATCCAGTTGTAGTCCATATTGAGCCTTGAATTCAAACAGTCGTGAATCAAATCATTAATAAACTACAAAAACAGTCCAATATGCCAACTCGCATTTATCCACGACTCGATATGTGATGTTCAAATGTCTAATACTCAGACTGTGCTGATTGCAATTGTGGTTGTAATTGTGGTTGTGCGTAAATATCAATCCAATACTCGATTCAATACTTGATTCAACTTGAGCATGTACAGTTTTGTAGTAATCCATTTGATCACATTGACAGAATCAAGCAATGATCTGATTCAACAACACCGAATGATGCATCCATATCACTTGTATCAATCAATTGTACACAATCAGTCAATATAATCAACAATCACTGTCATGATTGACATGATTGATTCAATTCATTCAATTCATTTAATTGCATAGATCTGACTGACATTACAACTCATTGTTGTAAAATCACAATCTCACAATTCACCGCCAACGATCAAGATTATATACCCGCTCATATATGTCCTTGTTGTATGCCGTTATGATTTGAATTCGGTCGTTTGTCAATTCATCTCGATAGTGTTTGGCTTCAGCTGGTGATTGAACACCTTGAATATACTGCGTGATATCATTCCACAGTTCAGGAGGTATGTGTGTCTTGTCAAGACT